GGAGGGAGCACCTGCAGAGGTGGGTTGGGCCATGATGATACTGCCAGCTACGAACCTGCTCAGTTTTTATACCAGCTCGGCAATCGCTGCTGCGATATCACATCTTGGCCATATTCCGGTTGTCGATCCACGTACGTCTGCTCGAGCAACGCTCATCATGGCTGCAGGTTTCGATGCAGTCGAGACTCACCACGGGTGCACCGTCTACTGCTTCTTTGACGATTGAGTCGGGCGTACCGAGTGAGTTTGCTGGTTCTATACGTGAGTCGAGGAGGAAATGAAGCGACGCTCTGAAACAGACTACACAGCACATGCAGTTTGTCAGCCTGAGGGCGGGCTGCAGTCTACAGAGTCACACAGTCACAAGAAGCCATCTCGCATTACTACATATGGGTATATTTGGCTCGAACAAACAATGCTCACGGAAACCCGATTTTCGGTTTCATATGCAAACGACTGTAATACCATATACAGTAAGTCTCACGATCCCAGAGGCCCTGTGACTGGTGACAACCGCCAGATTTCGTCTTCGGCAGGTACCCCTGTGATGTGTGACTGCCGAATACTGTATGATTTCGATCTATTCGGCAGTCACATGTCACAGGGGTACCTGCCGAAGATGTAATCTGGCGGTTGTCACCAGTCACAGGGCCTCTGGGATCGTGAGACTTACTGTATATGGTATTAGAAGCTGGCCTGTGGTGCCACTTCGCACCATATATAGTAAAATGCCGAAATGATGAATCGGTCAGATGAGTCACACGTCACACCGCCTGCCAAATAGATCGAAATGGTACAGTAGATCGAAATCATACAGTAGTAGCTGAGCTGGCTCTACATTCCTCCGCAGGGCGTATGATAGTATCGAGACCGAAGTACATTCACTCACTTAAAATCAATGCGACAGGATTGATATGAGAGCTTCACTAGATGGAAGGGGCGCAGCGCCCTACTAGTCAAGATGCTTCCCACTAGTCAGTAATGTGCGAAATCTTGTTTACTTCTCTGTAGCGGAGCCGGCTTTCACATGCAGAAAAGTCTGGAGTTCTGGGAAAGACATCATGGATGGTTTCCAGTGGTGTAGACATGGAGATGATGTTACGTCTGAAGGTTCTGCCGGGAGCTCGCGGAGAGCAGATGCGCCGTTGTGCGCCCAGGGGCTGCCACTGCGTGACCTGTGCCTCTTGCACCCAAAGATCTCACAGCATAATAGCTGACCATAGGATCTTATGGAAAGCCGGACGGTCACGCTGATGGCGGCATTGTCGGGTGGCTGCACTTCGACACCTCTCACATTTGTCGCCGGAGTGAAAAGTTGCATGTTTCTGCTCTGCTCCATCTATACGAATAAAGCGTCATATAATTACTGGCCGACCACATTTCAGATGCACACATACTACGCTGCTTGTGTCTGTATTGAACCTATCGCCTAGCCTGATACTACCCAGCACTGAAATCCTTCTCGGTCGCACTGCCATCAAAAGGAGATGCATCGAAATTTGTCAGAACCTAGGTTATACTCCCACACGGGATCGTCCTGACGCCCTAACAGGTCCTTCACCCATGTAATGGTAAACAGCGGTGGGCACCGCTTGTCCAGCTCGTCGAAGTGGCATAATTCCAAGAAATATCGAGTGTGGTTGAGCTCGTACGGAATGAGGAACATGTACTTGATACGCGCCATACGTCTGAGGACTCGGACTGTCTCGGCGGCGGCATCGCCCACCTCTAACTCGGGAAATCCACCTGCTGGGCGACCATCCGTCCAGATGTGCGAATAGGTGAATTGCAGGATCCATTCGGGAGTAACCGGATACCCATATGAGGGTGTGATCCCGGCGATGCGTTTGGATGGGTCGTATATCCTGCGTGCGGCTTCCGCAGCTTGCTTGATTTCATTCTTAATATTTTCTCGCTGATGGGCTTTCGGTTAGGTACAGTACAGTCTCAGCCGCAAAGCACTCCCACCTTCATCCGTTCCGAATCTATCTGCGTGAGGATCAAACCCCTTGCAGGCTCAGTCATGCTTTGCATAAATGCGAGTCTACTGAATGACACTATGAATATCGAATATCCATATATCATAGTGGTTGAAGAATTCACTCGCCTGAGATTGAGTGTAATGATTACAAGTGAGTCATCAGTAAAACCGGGCGGCATCTGAACCATCTGACATCAGGGGTCTCACGCCGCCTCACACCCACTTAGGACATTTATATGCAGAGAGCTTCAGAACCTGACTTTTGAGCGGTAAGACAGTGAACGGTGGATATTTTCAGACCTCCCCAGACTTATGATATTTAGTGACGAAGCTTTGGTCAGACTGCTCAGCCGGTTAGGCTTCGCAGACGATTTATAAGAAAATGCAATATGTTGGGGAAATACATGTACTCAAGAATGTAATTATTAGACTTGAAATTGAAATGAGTGTAACGGAGATACAATGTAGGAAGGAACGGACACAGTGTGAAGAGAAACTAAACCTGATTCAATACAAGAACACGATCATGAATAGGCCCATAATGCGCGAGCTCAATAGACATCATAGGGACTCGTACCCCATCGTAAACGGGCTGTAATTCACATCAGTGCTTTCCCCACATTTAAGTCGTAGACTCGATAGAAGAACTCGGAACAGGGCCCTCTGCGACGAGCATTCAGCTAGGCAAACGGGACTCGCAGACCAGAGAACGGTGCCCCGAGGTCTAAATAAAGCCATCAACCCATGCTCTTCCGGTCGATCGAAGAATGACGTGGCTGTGTGGCTTACCACCTAAGGCATCGCTGCAGCCTAATCTGTCTGACGAGCCACCCGATGCGATCGGCCCTCCCACCAGAGGCATTCCTGCGAGGTACGCCAAAGGGCGCTCGACGCGATCGGGCTGCAGTCGGCATCAGCGGACGCGTCGATAGGCGTGAGTACACCGCGCAGTATTGAGAGCGAGGATGTCCGTGAATGCGGACTCGAGCGCATATATAGAGGGGCTGGCGTGTAGGCAGTATCAACATTGACCCAGAGACCACTCACGCTAAACACACTAACAACGATGTCAACCCAACCAATTCCCATCATCGTGACCGGAAAGCCCCAGCTCGTCGCGCACCCCGACCTCCCGCGGCGGCTGTTCAACGGCGTGAAGCCCAAGTACGAGATCGCGCACTTCTGCTTCAGCGCGGAGGCGTTCGCGGACGAGTTCCCGAAAGTCATGCAAGGGGAAAGCTTCGCAGTATCGGGCGGGGTCGGGACAAACGTCGGGTCGTGTAAGTTCTTTCTTTCCGAAGTAGAGGTTTCGGAGTCATTGATATGGATGGGTGCGCGCAGCGAACCCGAGGAAACCGAAAGCGGCTGTGGTTGGCGGGGGTATGACGGATGAAGAGTTCGCGCAGATGAGGTCGGTGGAGTGTGCTGACCAGGTGAAGTGGGTGCGCATCCCGACGGACACGATGAACAGGTTAGGGCCCGCACTCGAGGGGTTGGAGAACGATATCGTGAAGTGGCTGGATGAGCTTGACATGCAGTAGAGAACTTCACGCTCATCAGTATTACCGAGTGTACGAGTAGGGAGCATAAGACAAACTCACAGCTCAGCGCCGCCGTAACATGTCATCGTCTTGTGACAAACGGTCCCGGTTTCAAGGGGGCTCTAGACACCTGCGTAGAACCGTCCTCGTTCATATACCTTCCTGTACCGGATGAAGCCGTACATATTGCTGAACCAGGCAAGTAGACTTCTCGAGCTCAAGAGCCTGTGGATGAAGAACGGTTGACAGAAGTGGACATGCACAGCCACTACGTCTTTCATGATTACCGCCATCCGTCCGATGGGACCGGCAGGCGAGGACTTCGGAGAGATGTAGAGTCCTTCCGGCTGTCATATCGTAAGGCCTCTCAGGCTTTTGAGGACGCTGGATGTGCTACACATTCAGAGTCCAGTTGTCGTGATACTCGGCCATGGGGAGCCTTACTCAGGTGGAGTGACCGTTCACTCTCCTCTCAGTACCCAATATTGTTGCGAATTCCTCTATAGTCCTGGTCTACCCGCGCTCTACATGTCAGGTCCCGATACTCCCATATCAGATCCTCTTCAAGCGCTTGGTCAGGACAACCTGAGTAAGCCCCTCCCGGCCTGGCGTCCCGGCGCGTTCGTGTCCTTCCTCGTTACAACGCTTCTGCGAGGCGCGGCGCGGCCGCGGAGCGAACACAGGAAATCGCGGACAACGGTAATGGTTGGGGTTTTATGACCTTTTGGATTGGAATCAATTGGGGCACGTATTCCATGCTCCCACTGACAGCTAGCAAGTGCAGAAGCTGATTCTACGCCTCATACCACCGCCTCTCCGGGTGCCCGGGGTTTTGCTCAATTGCTGCATCTATCCCAGCATCGATTCGAAGGAAGAAGTTCCGTTCAGAGTCGGACATGGCTCGAGGTTGTGAATAATCCCGGTGAGAGGTGGTATACTCGCTTACCTCTAGAATCACTGACCTGAATTAAGAATATGTGTGGATCCACATAGGTTATGATCTCCGTCCGAGATGTAAATTTGGTCAAGGCTTTCTATATGGCCTCATGCCAGATAATCCCACTTCAAGCAATAAGAAAATAATCAGGACACGCTTCTATAGCATCCAGGTGGTATATTATCATACTATCTACCATACAAAATTGATGGAATAATTATATGCGCTGGGCGGCTCTCAGCCACTGCAGTTCCAATTTATGCTCAAGTGTGATACTCATAGAGCAGAAAGATGGTCAGAAAACTTGTGACCACCATCGACACTCATGCACTCATCCCGTGGCTGCCCAGGATCCTATTAACATCGCTTCGTACTTTACCAACTCGAACAAATATATTGATATACCCGGCACACTCTCAAATTAACGTGAAGTGGGGAAGACACAATCGTAGCTGTAGTAATCTGTATCACGGGCAGGACCATTTACCGACCTTGCGCCGCCAAACCGGAGGGCCCTCCGCTCTCACCATCCTCCGCACCCTGTCTATTGCAAAGCACGGCGGCCAGCGTCCTTTGATATCAATGTGGTGATGGGTGCCTATGGTCACGAGCCAATCCTCTGAGTTTGAAGGATACGCGTTGATTCCCGGTGCGCACAGGCACACGGTCGGGATCCCAGATTTCGCACACAGTATGTGTTCGACGTGAGCCACGGCATCGATGAAATTGTCGGACTTGTTGCCGGTGTTCCTGGCAGCTTTCATAATCCAGTCTGCGGTGACTGGGTATCCGTAGACCATCGTATACGGCCCTCGGCTGCGCGGTACCGGATACTGCTTGAGACTTTCACGAGCAATTTCGATGGATCGCATGATGTCCGCCTGAATATTAATTTCTTCCGGCGTACGCTCGGTCTCCTGCTAATGATCACGATTGCGTCAAGGATACGAGGCGTGCCAAAGGAATGAACACTAACCTCAGGCATGTTATTGGTTCGTATGATGCTGATAATATCAGGAGTTGCGTCTGCAGATATCTGAGAACTCAGCGATTACGTGATCGCGCTTGCTGTGGCGTCGTTGAGAGTATGATCATGACCTGGGAAAGTGGCGGATCTGGTCGGTTGTGGGTAGCCGTATGCGGCAGATATTCGTAGGATGCGCTTGGGTAGGTCCTACCTAGGATACACCCCTTGGCTGATTTGATTATCGATATCCTTTGGCTAGATTGACTTCAGTTGGGATGCGTGTACACTCAGAGTCTGGAGTATTCCCACCATCATCCGTATGGGGAGTGAGGACCATGATGGCAGATATGGCCATATTGTGCGATAGTGTGCCGTTCACCTGAATCGAGCCACATAAGGTGACAGTACTTACAGTATAGTGATGAAGAGTTATGGAGGCAGCAGCACGCACAGTGCGCCCTACACAACTCACCTGTATTGGTTGGATGCTGTAGCTACTGGTAAAGCTTGTATAAATGACCCTTGTCATTAGGCAGCAGAGCTGCAGGGTTTATCTACACAGTGGCCCATAGGCTGACTAAGCTATGTGGAATATCTATAATCCTACTGAGCTCCACCTATGATGTCACTGACCCACATGAGCTTCATGCCATTGTACAATAATGGGATCTACCAGAATATTCCAGAGGGTTCTGCTACATTCTGGTATGTTGTAGAACCTGGCAGCTACGTCAGTGCCTAATTCAACACTCCCCCTCGCTAAGTGCCGTGGATAATCGTGCACGCAAGCATTGGGCTGACTTAGATTTACTCGTAGAACCTAAGTCCGAGTTGCGCTCTGAAGCGCAAGAACTTGACATGTCCTAAGTTCTTAGTGAACATGTCGGCAGGGTTATTTTCGCCATCGATGTAGAATACTTCAACTTTCTTCTGCTCGATGACTTCCCTAATATGGTGATAGCAAATGTTGATATGTTCAGACCTTTGCTCGGTGACTGGATCAGATGCAAGGAATATAGATCCTTGGTTGTCACTGCAAATAGGAATTGGGCCGAGTTGGTAGCCTAACTCTTCACAGAGTTGTCTAACCCATACACATTGGCGGCTACAATCACTGAGTGCCATGTACTCGGCTTCAGTGGAGGATAGCGCAACAGTCTTCTGCGCTGTTGACTGCCAACTGTTAGGAAGCGATGTCCTAACTAGTCATCTTGAGATAACTGGGCCACGAGCCAACAGTTATGTCGTCACTACCTCAGTAAGCGTACTGAAAGGTAGGTCTGGCCGGGCCAATGCCAACGGTCAAGTCAAGAGTCCAGGTAATCGCTGTATTCAACAGGAGGTTGAACTAAGGAATACATGGGTTTTCCTACAGTATATCTAGTAACTGGTATAGGGGTTAATACCCAAAGAAGAGAACAATAAGAAGGGACGCGTAAGCCATCCTGTGAGAACGTAACTCAGAGAAATGAGAAATACAAGGGCGCCCATTGGTAGAAGGTGAGTCAAGGGAGATAACGTGTGAGAAGAAGATAGCGTCCATGGGAAGGTCTACTCAGAGAAAGGTACTGTCCAATAGCAATGCTTGGAATGGAAATGGAATGAGATAAGCATGGGAAAATCATAACACCAACTGAATATGCCATTGGCATCCAACCAATACAGGTGAGTTGTGTAGGGCGCACTATGCGTGCTGCTGCCTCCATAACTCTTCATCAGTTGCCGGTTTGGGACTTCCTGGTACTGGGATCTGATGCCCAGTCTGAATCGGTGCATGCAGTAATACCAAGTCCACTAGCACCATCAAGAGCTAGCGTGTAATTCCGAGTCCGAATTAGATAGCTGCAGATATACAGTGCTTTATCTAAATGGGCTTGCGATGGATTAGCAGCAAATTGCGCTAACTGGGTCACTGCATAGCTGATGTCTGGTCAAGTTCCAAGCATAATGTAGAGCAAGGAACCGATCACAGTTTGGAACCAGCTACGAAGAGTAGGGTTGACTGGGCCATTGTTAGGCTCAGGTCTATAGCCTGCAGGGAGAGGAGTTGGCACAGATTTTGCATTCTGCATGCCACAGTGCTGCAGCACCTTATCAAGGTAGGCAATCTGATCGATATGGATTTCTCGGCCTTGCCTTGTAATGCACATGCATAGGAATTCCTTGACATCACCAAGGCCCCTGCATTCCCACTTCTTCATAAATCGTGACTTAACATCTGTCACGAGAGACTTGTCCTTGCCAAAGAACAAGGCATCGTCAACATAGACAACAATAATTACCATGCGGCCATCTTTCTCTTTAAATAAGAAGATGCCAGCATCAGTGGTTAGACATTTGCAGCCTAATTTCTCCAGAGACTCAGCAAGTGTGCGCCACCAGGCAAGCCCCGCTTGCTTAAGTCCGTAGAGTGCACGGCGCAGTCTACAAACCTTGTGCTCCTGGCCTTTTACGGCGAAGCCTTCAGGTTGTTCCGAGCCACAATGCCCGAACCGTACCTAGATATGGTAATTTTGAAGGGTTCAAACCCGAACCTGACCGGACCCAACGCCGTTTCCGCCATTTCGGGTTCTTTGAGGTTCACGGTCCGGACATTTACCCGAACCGGACCTTGGGTCCGGTCCCAGGTCCGGAAATTTGGGCCAAGAACCGGACCGAGCCGGACCGCGGCATCACTAGAGATGCGCAGGAGATGCCAATTATCTGAAGGCGGGGAGCTTTTGGGTAGCTCGATGCTGCTGCTAGCAAGGCGAAGGTCTCGTGGCAGACTCGGAGCCTAGAGTGCGCCAATCAGGGAGAAGTTATGATAGATACTGGTGACCATCTAGTAACTATTGACTGCTCGTTGCTTGATCCGTCCCCATTATCGTGACTTATTATATACAACGCTGCTCGCTTTCTTTATATCCGGACGACACCCATTACATCTATGTCTGCATTTCAAGGTGCTCCTACCGAGTGGCATTCCATTTGAGAGTCGCAACACTTCTTGTTCCTTATGTCATACAATCAATGCATTCTGGCGGATACCACACTCCGTGATGTTTTGCAGGCTTTGCTGTGGCGCATCGGGCATTACGGTGTGTCTTTACGGTGTTGTCGGTCAATATAACACCCTTCATTGAAGTGCTCTTATGCGACTCGTGTAATATCGGAATGATTTGTTCGGCACTTCTCTATCACGTATCATGGTCCATACTGACACAGTATGTTTGTAGTCCTGCGTCTAATCGAACAACACTTACCATACTCGGTTGGTTCAGTCATCATACTACAATGCCGTCATCAGACTAATGATACAGGGGCAATACCATGCGAGCATTTCGAGTCAATGATTCTCTTGGCTGCGCAATAGCCCTTTGTTTATTCAAGTTGGAAAGAGATGTCAAATCGCCCTTGTGCTTTCATAACGGGAGAAGAGCGCGTTTTATCTGCCTGCTGAGTATGTCGCGTCCTTGGACATATATATTACGGGCCTGACAGTCTGAACACACAGAACAGTGCTAGTGAACGATATCCAGCAGGTGGGTGTATCCTTTCTCATGTCTGAGTCTCTCTCTGAGTCTTTTCATTTCACAGATCTACACTCATGACACAGGCAGAACTTGAACGATGTGTTATAGCTGCCGTCAAATCGGCCCAGAGGAAGAAGTTGGAGTATCCCCTCTACGGGCCGTGGATGGAAGCGTTGGCACACGTTGTCGGAGGAGACGCCGTCATACACCCACAATACCCTTTGATCCCCGCACGTCTTGCCCACAAAAGTCTTCCTCCTCCGGACAGCCGGGGCAAGCGCCCGAGAGACCAGCGCAAGCAACCTGACGGAGTTATGCTGTCATATGAGAAAGCGAAAGTAAACGGGGTCCTGAAATATATACCCCATGTTCGCGGGCTTCTGGAGATCAAGGCTGCCCATGGCGCCGACGACAAAGATTACGACAGACTGGCAGCGCTGGCTTTCCCAATTATAGAGAGCCTTCTCGCGGACCAGGTGAAATACCAAGCTCGGTACGCGTTTGCCTTCGACCACGCCTTGCAAGTCTGTCCTGCGGTGGTCGCCATCGGACAATTCTGGCGTCTCTGTGGATTCCGCTTGGAAAGTATCAACAGGAATGCTCTTTCCATCTCCGAACAAATTACGGACGAGCTGATGAATGAGTTCGTTGTCGTTACCCGCTTTGATATTGATGGAAGCCATCCGCCAGCATTCCTGGTCAGAGATGAGAAGTTCCTCATCGATCTTTTATATCAGGCTTGGGTGATAATGCGTCAGTCGACACTCTGGGCGCCACGGGTGACTATGTAACTCCATGTAATCCATGTTCAGTACGCAGGCAGGTGATATGTATATAAATTGAGCAATTACATGCTGCTTCCGCCCAGTGAGAGTGGAGAGGCATAATGTTCCTGATTCCGTGCTCAGTATCATACTCACCCTCACAAATGTCACATGGGCTTCTGGCTTGCAATCAACGTGTAGCCGCCAAAAATGATAAGCCAGAGTTGCAGAACAATGCACATTAATCGGCCATTCGTACGAGGCCACCTTTCCCCTTATTGACATTCGCTCTTCAGAGCTTTGGTAGTGCAGCCGGCCAGAATAGATTAACAAGACCAAAATATGGCTCGAGGACGCAAAGACCTAGACAAGCCAGATCATAATTGACTTGATTGAGTGTAATTCCTCGGGCATTATTCACTCAAAGACTGGTGGGGTCATTGGCATTCCATCAAAAGCAGTAATTCACCGTCATTTATTCCACTACAAGTCCAGCTAGGTGCTCACGTTACAACACACGGAGAAATCACTGCGTAATATATTCAGAGGTATGACAACGCCTCCAGGTGTTCGGGAGTCACAAGTAAGCTCGGTACTGGTGTTTCTACGCCACGCTCTAGAGAGAATTGACCATATACTCCCATACTGGGTAATGGTCTTCCTTGAGAAGCTCTTTGATCCTCATCAAACAAAACATAGGAGGGCACACTTTGATGGTTTTATCGACCCGATCGCGATCGAATATCGCGAGAAATGTTGTGGGGATGCCGTCGGAGTCCTCGGTGTAATACCCAGTCCAATATAGGCCCTTAATGCCGGTGTTCGTCCGGATGAACTCGAGGATACCCATCGCTGCACTATCAAGCTGTGTCTCAGCAAGTGGCTGTCCATTATTGCAGGCCTTGGCGGCACGTTTGAGGATCCAGTCGGGGCCAGCGTGATAGCCATAGCACGGGGTCCTTCCTTGGATTCTCTTGGATGGGTCATAGCTCTGCAGAGCGAAATTCAAGGCTCGCTCTCGTTCTTTCTTTATATTCTCATGCTGCAGATAATATCATTATAATTACAACGGAGCAAACACGAAGTGCATACCGTGAACAGCTCCTCATCGATAGGAGTGATCTTTATGCCAAGGTCAGTCATGATCATCTTGTTCGCAAAAGTCGAAGTCGAAGTTCAATATCGTGAACAATATGAAGCGTGATGGATCCGCCTCACCTGTGAATTCTCCATGGGATTCTGAGTCATTTGAGTGTGTTCTGAGCGTTATGATGGAGTGCGTTCGCTCTCGCCTCAGTTTATATGCAGTCGCGTCGCCGGCAACTGCCGCATTGACATCAGAGGAGAGCTCGTAACAGGTGCGGCCCCTGGGGTGCACAATGACTTGTCCATTGGGTATCAATCTGGGTCTGTTCTCCTTGCCGGACCATATATCATTGTTCTGTTGCACATTACAGCTGTTTTCAAATCGATGGGCCTACCACAACGAAAAGTAGGACAGCAGAAGCTTGCCATCTTTGGTGTGAGAAGGTCCCCCAAACGTCGGGTATGAGCTGAAGTTGAAATCGATTTGGCTTTGGGACCCTTTATGGTTCCGGTGAGACCTTCTGGAAGTCGCAACACGGATATTCCTATCCAGATTTTCTTCTGGGTAGGCCCATCGATTTGTAAACAGCTGTAACAACTCCTGACACCCGACATCTAGTGAAACCCCCTGATCACCGGGGTGTTTTTCCACATACATGTTTCATGACGCCACTTCAGATGGTCTCTTATGCCCGTGAAGCCCACGAATCTGTGCTATAGAGAGTAAATCAGACTTATGGTATATAAGACACACCCGGGCTGGGTCGATCCCCAACAGTATATGCATTGGATACCATCGTATAGATGAGCCTGAGCCCCGAGCGTCCATTTCTCAAGGACGTTGGTTATTGAATCTCTCGACTTCAGCCACGGAAGAAACTTCCCGACTTTGCCTACTGGCATGGACATGGACGCGTTAGACAACAGTTTCTTATCTCTCTATGCGGAGAACCTCAAGGCGGCCGTATATTCCTGCCGTGAAAGTTCCGTAGAGCATCCATGGTATGGACCATATTACGATGCACTGAGGAAGATGCTCCTGGACGCCGGAGACAAGGCGTATGCCATCGTCACTCCACAGCATGCTCTCGTGAGGACTGTGCGTACGAACGACGGCAAGCTAGTCAGGAAGATGAAGATCACGGACTTTGGCGGCACAGTTCGCAAGCCCATTACCACCGACAAAGGAGAATTGGATTATAGAAACGAGACATTGGTCTTTGTGATGGAGAATAAAGCTCTCCCTCCAGCATATAACACGCCTGTGAAAGTCAAGGAGGCTTACATGGCAATGAAGGGTCAGGTTGAAGATCAAGTCAGGTTCGCTTCCGATGTCAACGGACCGGGGGCTCACGCAGTGCTTGCCTTCTATTGCATTGGCGAATACTGGACCTACAATATCTTCAACAAAGCCACTCTCACCCCACCGTCCGACAATGAAGACGAAACATATCGATATTCTTCGGATGAATCTTCCGACTCCGAAATCCTGGAGGCTAGGGGAAAACTTAATAATGCGGGTGGCGCAAACATCCAACCAGAAATCCATTTCAATACACTTCTCCTCTCAGACGATACACCAGACGATGGTGCCTTCGCTGCCGCCTGCAGGGAACTCAAGGCAGTGAACAGAAGCCTGTTCTGAAATCACGGAGAGGTATAGTGGGTGCTCCACGGTCTCCGCCCCTAGACAAGGCCGTCAACGGGGAATAATACGCCGCATCCAAGTCCATTCATCTGTAAATTCGGTATTGACATGTAGACTGGTTATTGTATTAAGTCCGCAAAATATCCAATGCGCAAGCTAGTATAGCTTACGCATGCCGCTCTTGCGGCGAGAAAGGTGTCCAGTATTGTTTAGCGTTCGAGTCTGGCATCGACGAAGTTGGTCGGAGCCTCTGCTTTGATTCGATTAAAGATTATAATGTTGTGATGAAGAGAGTCAACTGACGGGCTACCAAAGGTTCCCCCCAGCCCTCCCAAGCATGCCCCCATATTATATTCGCCATAATCTGGCGGTGCCGCACATCCGCCGGAGTCTACAGTCGATCTTTTGACTCAACGCGCTGCTCTCTTCGTTACGCGCTCCAGCAAATTTCTCCTGTAGTCTTTCGTCGCTCAAGCCAAATCTGTGCAACATCTGTGAGAGGTGCTACAACAGAATATCGGAACATAGCATCTTGTGAAGATAATATGGCTGAACGACGTCACCAGCCTGGAAAAGGCGTCGCAGGATAAGAGTCGTGCTGTCGCGGAGGTGCGGTGAGAGGCAGTGAGTAGCACGCAGGTCACGGAATGTAGGCCGAATGAGACAGTTCTGTTGACGCTCGTGGAGGACGGGGGGGATAAACTGAATGGGCCATAACTCGCGACGAAGGCACTGAAAAGGCTAGACACATGAATCGAGGAATAAGAAGGGGATCCATATACCAAAGGAGACGGCACGTGCACTAGGAGAGAGACCCGGGGACGTATGAGGCAGCCTTTGAATACTGCGATGCATCAAGCCCCAGCTTCGAGTGACAGGGCTAATGAGATGATCATCAAGGAGGCGGCGGCATGAGCGTCCCCATAGTTCGGCATATAAAAGGGCCCGAGACGTGGAAGTGACCACGGTGACAAAGGGACGAAGATATGGAGAACGGAGAGAGGAGCAGCGAGGGCGAAGAGATCTTTTGTCCATCAACTTGCGATGGACGGCCGCAGTCGAATTGAGCGTGAGTGGAGAGGAAAGGGGAGTTGACCAAACCAATAGAGGATAACACTCCGCCAGAGACATCATTTGCTTTGTTGAGCTTCCGAGCAAGAGGAAAGGCAAATGAGGAAGAGGAGAGGACGGAATTGTGGCGAGAATTCAGGCCTATGGGCATTACCTGCAAACTCAACGTGAACCAAATGATTAAAGTAGAAGGTGAGCCACAGTAACAATTTTCAAGTCCCATATCGTTAGGAAAACCTACGATTGTATACTGAACTGTCAACACACAGAAGCGTAATGTCATCCGAAAATGGTAAGTCAACGCTTCTTCGAAGAAGACAAGCATGACGTCACACGCGCTCGCGGAACGCCATCCCAGGTCAGCCAATGCGTCGACGGTAATGTCATAAGCATCCCTGGCCCATCCAGGTCCCCCATTTTCAGTGCCACCATCTCGACTCACTTTTCAACTCGCTAGATCTCCTGAATTAATTGTCAATAAATCCCAATAATCGCAGCAAAATGCGGTCAATCCATATCTTCCGAAACACACCCTCTGCCATCCGGACTCTCCACACCACGCCCACGCTGCACTTTACCACACGCACCTCGAGCGGGCTCGACCGCGCAGTCTCCCAGGGGCACGCCACCTCGCCTCAGAACCACGCGCCACAGTCCGTGCAGAGCGTCCACGTCGCGGCGGGGCTCTGCGCGCGCAACGACGCGAACGACCACCACCTCAACGCGGCATCGCCCGCGCCGCAGTACAGGCCGCGCAGCTTCGGGCGCGGCGGGGGCAACAGGGAGGGCGTGGGCTTCGTCGAGCAGGTCGGCGGCGCGAGCGTGAGCGCGGACAATTTCTCGAGTGTTGGGTATATGGGGGGTAAACGGGGGTTTCATGGGAGTGCTGCCATACATGGTGGGAGCGGGATGCATAGCGCGAAGATGGTGACGAGGGGCGGGCGGGACCCGTCGGTGTCGCAGGGGCACGCGGCGGATCCGGAGGGGAACGAGTCGCCGCAGGACGTGCTGTCGGACCACGTCGGCGACGGAATGAAGGCGCGGGACGCAGGACACCCGATGGACGCCGCGTCCTCGCACACGCAGCCACAACTCAAACCTACCGGTATGGGCTCGGGAAACAAGGAGCATATCGGGTTCGTCGAGCAAATTGGCGGGGCGAGCGCCTCCGCGAACGGCGGGTCGAAGTACATGCCTGACGACGTAAAGGGCTCACCTTCGCCGGGGAGTACTGTCTCTGCCCACTGGGAGGGCGCGACCACCACCCCTAACAATTCCTCCCGCCCCTCCTTGACCTCCGCACTCAAACACACCACGCAAGCCGCTACCTCCGCCCCCCGTCCCCTCCAATGGGAAGGCAAACGCCCCTTCTCCTTTACCCTCCACACCTCTCTCCCCACCTACGCCTCCGGCCGCACAGACCCGCACACCGCGGGGCGCACTCAGAAGCAAAAGGACGCGCACCTTGGTCTCGACACGGGCGGGCCCGCGGAGTACGAGCAGGCGAAGCTGGCGGGGAGCCGCTTCGGCGAGACGCGCGCCCAGAAGGGGAGCGTGACGGTCGGCGCGGAAAAGCAGAAGCGCACGCCGGGGACGGATAGGAATGCGGAAAGCGCGTCGGGGGATTTTAGTAACGTCGGGGTGGTTGCTGGGCAGAAGGAGAAGTGAGTGTTGTGGTGGGTTAGGGGGCGAAAGGAGAGCGGTGGGCGTTTGTAATATTAGCACGAAGTGTATAAATATCCGTGTTGTAATGATAGTTCTTGTGGGTAAACGTCGCTGAGGAGGCGATAGGAAGAGGGGTGTGCGTGTCCTGATAAGCCCTAACCTTACCTGAATATGCGATCTTCATATGGCGTCCGCATTTGGGACACAAAGTCGCGGTCGGCTATGGCGTGAGAGGCGCCTTTGCCTTGCTTCTTGAGATCGTCCGGAAATAAACCTTCTGGTTCGTGCTTCGACCCCAGTGGAAATTGACAATATTCTCGTGTTTTTAGATATGTTCCTCTATATACCAGGTAGAACAATAGCTCTAAATACAGGGGAATGTAGTAAGTGGCACTTTAAATACATGGATTTATGTTCTAATGATTTGTGCCGCTATCACAGCTGGCGTGGCATAGGTTGGTAATAGATCTAAATACATCGGAAATAGCTGCAAAATCAGGAGGATATACAGTCGTGGTGGGCCGCGTATATGGGCTTCCCCGGTATCAGGAGTGAGCGGTAGGATATTCTTGTACTTTTACAGATATTTGTTATGATTTTCCCATGCTTATCTCATTCTATTTCCATTCCGAGCATTGCTCTTGGACAGTACCTTTCTCTGAGTAGAACCTCCCATGGACGCTATATCTTTTCACACGTTATCTCTCTTGACTCACCTTCTACCAATGGGCGCCCTTGTATTTCTCATTTCTCACAGGATAGCTTACGTGTCCTTTCTTATTGTTCTCTTCTTTGGGTATTAACCCCTATACCAGTTACTATATATACTGTAGGAAAACCCATGTATTCCTTAGTTCAACCTCCTGTTGAATACAGTGATTACCTGGACTCTTGACTTGACCATTGGCATTGGCCCAGTCAGACCTACCTTTCAGTATGCTTACTGAGGTAGTGACGACATCACTGTTGGCATGTGGCCCAGTTATCTCAAGATGACTAGTTAGGACATCGCTTCCTAACAATATTCACATGTGTTCTCATATATTGCCCCCTCGCATGCCCATCCCATTGTATTTACACATATTACTGTAATTTTGTAATTTTCTACCTTTTCTGTTGTGTCGTTCTGACCCGCACCTCACCCATCTGTTCTGCCGGTCCCCCGGCAATCGCACATCCCGCCCACTTCGCACCTCTCGTATCCAATGCCCACTTCCACCATCTCTACCCCCCCCCCCAATGCGCACATATTCCGGTTTGCCTGTGCGACCTGTCTCCTGTTCCATATGGGGACATACCTATTCAACCTGTTCTCATGATCGCCTCCTGCGTTGAGATTAAAGTCAGAATATTAAAATTTTGTAATGCAACTAACAATTACTCACTATATCTCTACATTCTTGTGTGTTCCGCAACGTGCCCCCTGCCTTGAGAATACCGCCTAAGACAGACAAGTCATATTGGTTAATAATTCAGAGTGCAAAGGGGATACCTTGCGGTTAAGAGGAGTGTGTGTGCAAATGTTTTACTGCAAGGCGACGAGTTTATGGATCGCGCGAGAGCGGCAAGTGATGTCATACCGCGATCACTGCAGCTGAATATACACCAACAACTTGAACGCGGTAGAGTCCCCGATTCAATCCGACGCGGCCGACGCGCTCACGCAGGCGGCACGCGAGGCATGCGCTCACGCGATGCACTCGAGTGACTCGACAGCATCGCGTTCCTGTACGACGCACACCTGATGCAGGTAGAGTAGGTCGAGGGAGTGTCATGCAAGTGTCATTCAGCAGTCTGTGGCCTCCAAAATATACAGGTACACATATGCAAATATATTTAAAGTATCTAAAAATACGAAAATATTGTCGATTTCCACTGGGACTCAGGAACTTGCACAATACGACCCCTCGAAATAACAATCCCACAAATAAGCTGACAAAGCACTACAAATATGGCAAGCGCCGTGGCTGTCACTGTTCCCGACGCTAGGAGACAGTCCTAAGGTCAGGGTAGCATATCAAATCACTCCCAGAGCATATTTTATATGAAAACCCAGACCTTAACCAACCCGGGGTGTTCCCCCCGGACCCCCCCTTTATCGATATCCTAACCAACTCACCCTAACCCGAACCTTAACCAATCGGGGGGTTCCCCCCCGGACCCCCCACTTACCCTAACCTACCCAAACCCAAACTTCCTAACCACCCCTCCGCAGTGCGAAGAAAAAATATACAGGAAGTAGGTAGAACATTGGTACAAACCAAGAAAAAACACAGTCGTAAGGATTTGAACCCAGATCCACGAGCCACAGCCGCAACGCAGACCCGCTAGGCCACACAGCAGACGCCTGTGCAGCCACAAGGGGTTATACATCCAACAGTGCTGACTTGTCTTAGTCAGCAAGCCGGTGGGATTGTCTTTTCGAGGGGTCGTATTGCCCAAGACGGACTCAGGGGCGGCGCCAACAAGAGC